CAGCTTGTCTGTACAGGCAGAGGACACAAAGCAGGCAGAAATCCTAAGTCCCTAGAGAGAAAAACTATAAATAACTACTTCAGTGCTGACATGCTGCCTCTTTTCCTGAGACACAAGGACATTTCAATGGCCTGAGAGCTCTGTATCATCACTATAAATTCACTTGAGCTACTTACCTTGCAGCCCAACAGCGTAATCTAGAGCAGAAAATGGCAATAAAAAAGCAGAGCTGTAACCAAGAGCCCCTTGGATAAAATATGCTGAGTACTGAGTACATGGCTGTACATGGTACTTGGAATCTGTCAGGTAAAGACAAGCCTTAGAAAGTCACATTACATGTACATATTACAGACACACTGTTTTCATTTCATTGCTTACCCATCCTACAGCCCATTCCAGAGCATAAGGAATAGAGGAGATTAGAAAATATGAACTTGTGTGCCTTCCAGCAAGAGAACTGGTTCAGAAATAGAAATCTGGCAAGTCTAGTCAGATCAGGTTAAAACAACAGGTGAAAAATTACCTAGAGGTATGATCTTAACCAACAGCTGGTAGGCTGGTCATCATATAAGGAGAATGGTCAGCAACGATCACATTGGGCAGTATTCAAAATGAGACCTATGTTTTCTTCCACTGTCTTTGGATGTCTGGAAACTGCAACAACTCTTTTACTTAAATATTTGTTCCTTAGAGTCCAGCGCAAAAAATGGAAGATAGTATACAATAAAAGTATAAGAATAAAAGAGTGTGATGAGGTACAAGGAACAGCACATGTAACAACTCTACATAAGCTTGCACAAAAAAATTAATTATCAAAGGCTGGGAACATAGTTCAAGGGTAGAAAAGCTTGCCTGGCACACATGAAGCCCTGGGTTCTATTCCCAGCACTAACATAGCAGACTTATTTATACTAAACAGAGAAAAGCTGGTAACATCCTTGACATTCTAAGTTCTGTTAACTTAAGCATGATGTATCCATGCTAGCAATAGTATACACTCAATGGAAAAGCATAGGTAATCTGTTTCAACCCAAACTCATGCTCCTTGACTCAGAAACCAAATAGATTCAAATAGTAAGGAATACTTGTATTTAGTTACCTGGAAAGATATTCATGATATAATAAGTTACAAAACATATATGCTGTATTTTCTTTTAAAAGTAACATACTTATATTTGTATATACATATAAAAGTGAGACTTTCTGGGATGTTGTCTTTTTTTTGACAGGGCCAAAATTGCACCCAGGGCCTTTACACTACACCTCCAGCCTATTCTCAAATCTATTTTCTTACCACAACTCTTTATTTTATTTATATTCTGAATGTCTCATATAAATGAAATCATGGGATTTTGTTTGTTTTTGGTACTGGGAATCGAACTCAAGGCCTTATGCTGTCAGGCAGGGTGCCACTGAGCTAAATCCCCAGTCCTTAAAACTTCTATTTTGAGAGAGTCTTACTAAGTTACCCAGGCTGAGTACTGTGGTTAAGCAAGCAAGCAGTCAGGAATGAAAAAACAAGGGAGCCTGGGGCTTTCTACCTATTGCCCAGCAACAGCTACTCTCTAGAACAAATGTTTGACTCTAGGCAGTAAAAAAGCAGAAACCAAGTACTTTGTGTCGCACACTGTTTAGAGACAGAAAAAGAAAGGACATTAGGTTAATGAGGCTGATATCCACACTGGCTCATGTACCACCTATTTTCAACCTCTTCTCCACTTTTTTTTTTTTCCTTACTGTAAAAGCCATAAAGCTAAACCACTCCCTGCTCAGCCTTCTGGAAGCTAAATTCTGTCCAAAGAGGCAAAAGCCCCCAGGGAGAGCTTTTCTTCCTGTTGTGCCCTTGCAGCTATAGAGAACTTGGGCATAAGGTCTGGAGATGCAGCACCTCTTCTGCAAATAAAACAACAAGAGCAATGGAAAGAAAGGAAAAGCCTAGACCTCTGCTGAGATTGGTACCGCAGTCCTAGCCTGCCCATCTCCAGATTTTTTGTTATGTCAGAAAAAGAAAACCCTATTTGTTAGGTCACTGCATCCTATTCATTAGGTTTTCAGTTCAGTGCAGCTATAGGCATTCCTGATAGCACAGAGCTCAGCACAGTGGTTGTCCACTACCTTTCCTCTCCAGCACACACAGGGGTAGAATGTATCACCTTCATCGCAGTTGCTCTCTGCATCTGTGATTCTTTTTTTTTGTTTTGTTTTGCTTTGGTACCGGAGATCGAACTCGGGTCCTTATGCTTGCAAGGTAGGCGGAGGAACCACTGAGCTAAATCCCTGGCCCTGCATCTGTGATTCTTAACACAGCAGCACCAGATGGTAGAGTGGGGATGAAAGACAGTGGTCATGGATTCCTAAAACATGTCACAAAAGCATATGTCTGTGAAACCACTCAATTTGGTCCCTCCAAACATTAAGGATTTTTTTGTTCAAATGTTAAATAAGCAAAACACTTTCTACCCAAGATGCTTTTACATTCTTTCAAATTTTATTCCAAGATATTACACAGAAATTACTTAAGTGACTATTAACTAACCTCTCATAGTAATACTCTATGAAAAAACCAGGGTACTGATCCCACAGAAATAAAAATCAAATTTGTATTTAAAGGCACTAATATTTATAATCATTCTATTATTATATTTATCATTGTTATAAAGCTCTGTAATTCTGGGATTATGTTATATATCTCATTTAATGTTTGTATTATTCATCATTCCCTTTCCACGCACTTTACTGTTGCTTTAATTCCCTGTTTGGGAAATATAGGTCATCTTTAAGTGTGCACATTTCCACAAATTATCCACAGAAAGTACTGAACTCAATTTTAAATGCATCCTCATACATCCTTTTTTAATTTATTAAGCTATAAAATGTTAACACTTCCAGGCCAGAATCACTACCTATTTTAGAAAGTAAAGGGAAATAAAAGAGCCTTTCTTGTACACAACCAATGTAGCTTTCCAAAACTAACGCAAACTCATTATCAGTAAAGGGATAAAACATGAAGACATACGACATCAAGAAAACCACCGCTCTTAATACTGCTCTCATGTCTATGACCTAATTCTTTTTTTTTTGTTTTTTTTGGTACTGGGGATTGAACTCGGGTCCTTGCGCTTGCAAGGCAGGCCACCGAACTGCTGAGCTAAATCCCTGGCCCCTCTATGACCTAATTCTGAGACAAGGATCTTCTAAGATATGCTAAAATATCTAAATCACCTCACAATGCAAGCATGCATGTACAAACAAACAAAAAACTCAAATCCAAACCAATCCAACACTGCACTTGGCAGTCTAGATAGAGTGTGTATTAATTCATCAAAATCCACAGAAAAAGCTGGGCATGGTGTGCATGCTTGTAATCCCATTCTTCACAAGTTTGAGGCCAGCTTGGGCTAGCTAGTGAGTTCAAGGCCAGCCTGCACTACATAGCTGGACCCTGTCTCAAAAAAAAAAAAAAAAAAAAAAAAAACCAAAACCCAAAACAAAACAAAAAAACTTACAGAGTGCTTGCTTCAGCAGCACATATACTAAAAAGCCTACAGAAAAATCACAATCCTAAATTAAATCACATGAAAACAACTCAATTAAGTCATGTGAAAACAACTAAAAAGACAATGAAATACTTGGTTAAAGAAAAGCTTCCAAAAAACTGTTGATAGGCTTGGCCTTTATGTTTACATGCAATATTCACTGAAAAGTCTGCAAAAAACAAGAGAAAACAACTATAATGACATTGAAATACAAGGTTAAAGAAAAGCTTCTTCCAAAACACTGTAACAAGCCAGGCATGGTGGCGCAAGCATGTAATCCCAGCACTTGGGAGGGCTGAGGCAGGAGGATCCCTGTGAGTTCAAGACCAGCCTGGGCTACACAGTGAGTTCCACGTCAGTCTCAACTACACAATGAAACCGTTTCAACAAACAAACAAAACAAAAACAAAACACTGTCACAGACCTGTCATTTATGTTTGCATGTAGTGTTCACAGAAAGTTTGCAAAAAATAATCACTTTTTCAAAGAGGTATTCCCATCATAGGTCTGTCTGAGAAAATTATTCAACCGTCAATAAAACCAAGACTTCATCCAATGTCCTAGTGCAAACTCATTATCAGTAAAAGGATAAAACATGAAGACATATGACAATGAAGACATGAAGACTTTCCATCCAATGTAAATTCAAAACCCACTTATTTATTGCAGTGAGGTTTAATCCATTAACAACTGAGGTACATCCATTAACATCATTTGTCTTAAAAGAAAAACAAAATACACAGAATCACCACCATTGCCCTAGAGGTTAGCCGAGTTTGTACTTCTGAAATCACAGTGATTGAGCGTGGTGGTGCACACCTGTAATACCAGCACTCGGGAGGCTGAGGCAGGAAGACTGCTGAGTTTGAGGTCAGCCTGGGCTATGTAGTGAGTTCAAGAACAGCCTGAACTACATAGTGAGACCTTGTCTCAAAAAAAAAAAAAGAAAGAAAACGAAAAAGCCTGCAACCTGGGAAGCAGAATCTGAGACCATAGTGAAAGGTTTAACCCCGATCTGGAATTTGCTATTGTCTACCTAACACCCAAAGTGCTGGTGTACAGCCTAGCACCAGAGAATAACTCAAAGCAGTGGGGTCCAGTGTAAGATTCCTTTTCAAAAGATGGCAAAAAGAACAACTACAGGTACGGGTCACTTGAAAAAGTAAGAACACGTTTAATCGCTACAGGATATCAATAATAAAGCTTGCTTTTAAAAAAAAAAATGCCATTAGTTTCTTTGGAGAAAATAATTGACTTAAGATTTTCAAATGAGAAATGAAGGTATGGGCTCACTCACATCTTCCAGAAACAAAAATTATCCCAAGTTTTCAAAATGGCAGAGATATGTGTATGCGCACCTGTTTCAACATGGGGAAAATAGTTTAAATCTCTTCAACTCAGCTTGACAAATGCAATTTACTTACTAAATCTAAGCAAACCCAAGAAAAGGCAAAGGAACATTACCATACTTGGTGCCTCCAAGTTTAGGTACATTGAAGAACTTCTGATGTGAACTGTCATTTAATGTTTCAATAAGGTACTCAAAAGCATATCCTGAAAAAAAAATGTATTTTCATTAAAAAAACAGCAATAAAGCATCTTATGCAAAGGGAAAATACCTGGAAGAATACCCAGGAGAATCTTCTGCATGGCGGTAATGTTCTATATTGGCACTGTCCATTGAGGTATTTGTTAGTCACATGTGGTTCCTGATCACTTGAAATGTGGCTACAGGAATTTTATTTTAACTACATTTAATTTTAATTAAAGTCGCATGTGGCTAATGTCCTCCAATCTATTGTTCTAACCCTTGACTCTTGTCAAATAAAAACTGGTTAAGATTATTCACTCCAGCAAAGATCCTAATAAGATTACTGACGTTGTGAAATGGGAAGAAAGGGGCTAAAGGTGTAGGGAAGGTGGGATGGGTAGGGGAAGGGTAATGAGGGAAAAGAAAAAAATGTGAGATAATGAAAAGATGGAAATAAAGTGTTTGTAGATGGGGAGGGGAGGAGGGGGTGAAGGGAGGGCAGGGGTAAGGGGAAAACACGAGAACCAAGACCTGTCATGTAGAGGTACAAGATCCCAACAATGAATGTAACTGTACTGTATCCCTAAAATGTACCAATAAACTCAATTAAAGTAGAAAAAAAAAGATTATTCACTCCTAAAAAGTGTTCAAGAAAATCTGGAAGAGTCAATAAGAATGACTTTAAACAATATATGGGGATGCTTTAAAAAGACACGTCCTGAAAGTTGCATTAAGTGCATAAAGGAGAGTGGGAGCGAACAATTATGTTAGAGGAACTGATTTTTAAAAATAATTTTACCGCACATGCAACAAAAATTTTTTTTAAATTAGGTAAGATCTTAACAGTCTTTAAGACTGAAGACAAAAAGGAACAACTTCGCATATTCTCCCTAAGAAACAAATACTGGTTTTGCAATCTCTTAGGGAAGACAGCGTCAGAAACCTGGGGGTACCTTTGCATATTCCCAAACCCTAAGGATCTGGGGGGGAAAGGTGCGCGGAGGCAGCCCTGAGGTTGAAAAGAATCTTTCGGATCTTTTGTGGATTCATGGGGTGGGGGACAGGACCCGCAACATTGTTAGGCCGTTAACTTCTGGATGGCTGTTTTTCCTTTCGGTAGGAGACCCGGGGGGGGGGTCGGGGGGGCGACCGCTGAAGTAGTCCGTGAGGAGCCGGCTGAGCAATATTCAGCCTCTACGACCCCCCATTTCGCCTCCAGGGGCGGTGGGGAAGGAGTGGCTTGGGACCGGACACCGGGTAAACGCGGAGCTGCGGCAGGCTGAGACAGGCAGGCCTGGCCCACCTTTCAAATTGAGGGGGAGGGGAAGATCTGGGGCTCTTTCCAGGCCTGGGATCACCGAGCCAGGCCCCAAGATCACCGAGTTGTGGCGCCGAAGGTGCAGGCACCTCCAGCAGCCCGGCGCACGGCCACCCTAGAGCCCACGGGATGGGGCTCAGGAGGCCTGGCTTTCTTAGGTCTGGGCCGCCAGCGACTCCAGGCCGGAGCAGGCGCCAGGAGCCGACAGCGCGCGTGCCCAGCGGCAAGTCCCACGTCGGCGGCGTCACTGACCTGCACCTGGAGCGTCCATCGCCGGAGACCATATTATCCCTGCGGGGAGGGGGCGACGGAGGGGAAGGGAGGCCGGGAAGGGCTGAGGAGAGGAAGGCAGGCAGAATGGCGAGGAAGGCAGGAAGCGGTCTCGCGGAAACACCGCGAGAGCCGCGACGGGACAGGGGCCTGCAGTCGCGGGATCTGCCGCCTGAATCCCGCGAGATCTGCAAGCCTGGAGACAAAGAAAGAAAAGGGGCGGAGCTAACCTGCCGGCGACTTCTCTCGTGATAACCTCTGTACTCGCGAGAGCGGGCAGCGCTCTGGGAGAAGGCGTTACCTTTCCTTGCTGAATCCCTGAAGAGATGCTTAGTTGTGACCCCGAGTATTTAATCAGGGTTTTGAGGTACAGCTTCCTGCAGGGTGTTCTTAGGAGCAGGGGCCATAACTGGAACAACTCGGAAAACAGCTTAAGGAAAACCATTTCCCCTTACGCTGAAGCCTCATAGTGTGTCCAGGGACCCCTTGGGTAGCCGGCACAATGGGTTGGAGGCCAGATCGGGAACGGAGGCGCTGGGCTCAGGGTCGGAGGAGTTGGATTTCTACGCATTCTGCAATTTCAGCCTCTTCTCCCCGGGAGCGGCCAATCGTGCTGTCTTTCGGCTTCTCCGACACAACTTTCAGGCCCTGCCTTCCCATCTGTGCCTTCTTCCCTCTGTCAACCCTTCGGTCTGGGTTTCACCCCCCCAGAAATGCCTTCGATCGAGGTCCACTGACCTCACACTGTAATCCCTTATTTCACCCTTTTATCCACTCCTGTGACTCCGCCTCCTAAGCCCACAGGTGTCTCTCCGAGTTCTATCAGACACGTGTGACATCCCGCAGGCATCCCAGAGGCAACAGTTCCCTCAAAATGCCTTTTTCTCCAGTATTGCCTGTATCATTGAATGGCATTGCCATGCATCTGGCCATCCAAGCCAGAAACAGACACAGTTTGTTTTAATCCTTAAACCAGCTCTGCCAACCCAAATCCCAGTTTCCTCTATTAGGCTTTGTAGAGATTACCCTCGCTTCCTTACAGGTCTAAAACATTTAATCTCAAAAAAATTACAGGATCAGGGCAGTAGCATATGCCTGTAGGATTGCAAGTTCAAAGCCAGCCTGGGCAATTTAGGGGGGACTCCCCGCCCAAAGAAAAACAAGAAAAAGGGCCGAGGATGTATCTCTGGTAGAGTGCCCATGGGTTCAATCCCCAGTACAAGGGGCGAGAGTGGGGGGATGGGGGCTCTTAGGACGAGTACTTTTCATGATCTCCATGTTCATGACAAACAAACCCAGCAAAGTTAAGTAACTTACCCAATTCACCTACCAAGTGACTGACTCAGGATTTGAACTCATTTGAAATGGGTGCACGAGTTCACAGGACTAACTTAGACTTTCATGATTTGGTTTATTTATTCCCTTACACCCTGGACTTCTAGGTGGAAGGTGGAATGACTCACCTGTGGAATATCTCCTTTTCTATTTTTTTCTTGAAACACTGCTGTACACTTTCAGGCTAATCCCTCTTCATTTTCCAGGTCCCCGTTCATGTATTAATTCATTTAGGAAATCTCTGGCCAATCCCCAGTTCTGGGTAGAGAATGTGATGAAATGATTCCTTAGCGTCCTATATTTTAGTGAAAGCACGGTATTACCCTTGGTTATAATTGCCCAGTTATTGCATTTCCCTTATCTCAGTTTCTTACAAGGGAATACCCAACTAATGATGACTTAAACAACAAAGATCTGTAATTAACTCATGCACTAAAGTGCATAGTAGGCAGATCAAGAATCAGTATGAAAAATGAACTATGTCGTAAAAGGCTCATTCCTCATTTTAACCTGTGCTTCTCAGCAGTTCTTATTCCCCACACCTGCTCCCTCATGGCAGCAAGATGAGGGCAGTAGAATGTCATCCTACAACTTCTAAAAGCAGGAGGGAAAAGGATGCCCAACACTTCTCTCTTTACCAGAGAAGAAAATATTTTCCCTGAGATCCTCAGCAGATCCCCCTCACTGACCAGAAAATACTCATGGTTCTCTACCCTGTCAAACAAATATCCCTCTTTAAGAAAATTTTGTGATGTCTCCTTTACTGTCTTGATCTGAAACTCATGGGTAATATAATCTGCACATAACAAAAAATCTACTTAATGTCCTAAAAGGAGAGTAATTTATTAGAAAATAGTAACAGAAGGTTTATGTTAGATAGCATAATTGGAATAATCAGGTGCTTGCATCTACTTGTCCTGAATGAGTGGTTTTACAGGATACAAGATAATGTTCAACCTAAAGTGGTCAATACTTTTTATTTGTTTAACATTTCATAATGAACACTAAATACATAAAATACAGCATGCACATATATAATAAACGCACATGTTAAAATATATGTGCATATCACTGCATCTCTCGAATGACCAGTGACATCACTGGTCATTTGAGAGATGCAGATGAAAACAACACTGAGATTCCACCTCACCCCACAAAGAATGGCTGCTATCAAGAAATCACACAATAACAAATGTTGGCGGGGTTGTGGGGAGAAAGGAACCCTCCTCCATTGTTGGTGGGAGTGCAGACTAGTGCAACCACTATGGAAATCAATATGGAGATACCTCAAAGAGCTTGGACTGGAGGTTCCATTTGACCCAGCCATCCCTCTGTTGGGTATCTTTCCAAGAGAACTAAAAGAATCATATCACAGAGAAGTATGTGCACCCATGTTTATAGTGGCACAGTTTGTAATAGCTAAATCTTGGAAACAACCTATTTGCCCATCCGTTGGAAACTGGATAAAGAAGATGTGGTTTTTCTATAAAATGGAATATTACTCAGCCATAAAGAGCGAGAGAATAGATTCATTCATAGGAAAATGGATACATATTGAAGATATACTCCTAAGTGAAATAAATAAGTCCCACATGTGTAAATACCAAATAGTTTCCCTGGTGTGAATATTCTGCAACAATGCATAAGATTCTAATAAGATTACTGACATTTAGAAATGGGAGGAAAGGAGCTAAAGGTGTAGGGAAGGTGTGATACGTAGGGGAAGAACAAAAAGGGAAAAGAAAAAAATGTGAGAGAATGAAAAGATGAAAATAAAGTGTTTGTAGATGGGGAGGGGAGGAGGGGGTGAAGGGAGGGCAGAAGTAAGGGGAAAAAATGAGAATCAAGACTTGCCATGTAAAGGTACATGATCCCAACAATGAATGTAACTGTACTGTATCCCTAAATGTACCAATAAACTCAATAAAAAAAAAGAAAAAAAAATATATGTGCATATAAACCAGCTCACACAGAGACTAATAAAAATGAGTTGACTCAAATATTGAAAGTGTTGTTATTCAGTGGTTTTCTAAAATAGTGAATAAAATTCTCCCATATTTTGCCATTTATTTTGTGATAATTTCAGATTTGCATGCAGTTGTATGAAATAGTAGAGTTCTGTAAATGCTTCACCCAGTCTTTCACCATGTAAATGGTGCAATATCCAAATGAGAAAATTGACAGTGACATAACCCTTCTGCTTTATTTAGAATTTAGTAGTTTTACACGCACTCTTATATAATGTGTGTACACATGGATATTTAGTTTACGTGGATAGCTTTGTAGGGTCAAAATAGCAAGATCTGAAACATTCCCACAATTCCTTAACATCACCATTCTATAACCAATAAACTACTTTCTTCCTAGGTTGTACTTCCTCGTGCTTTACCATCCCCCAACTACCAATTGCTTATCTATTGGGATGGACAAGAATCACATGCAGATAGAATCATATAGTAGTTTTCACAATATATATTTTTCTTAGTTATGTTTCCAGTGAGGTTTTTAGTACTCCAATATTTTTATATGATGTGGCTTTCCATTTTATTATGTTTGTTGAGACTTTTTTTCTTGGCGTTTTGAGACAGGGTCTCACCACGTAGTTCAGGCTGGTCTTGAACTCACAAGTAACCCAGGCTGGCCTCTAACTCATGCTGATCCTCCTGCCTCAGCCTGAGTGATGAGATTACATGCGCCACCACTCCCGGCTCCAGTGAGATTTTAGAACCTCTTTAGATCAGTATTCTGGTCCGTGTCCAGGCTGGTTTTTGTTTTTTTTAATTAAACTTTCTATTTGGCAAAAACTTTTAAAGATATAGAAAATTGCAAGATAATCATGATAATTGTGTGTATGTGTGTGTTTTACTAGGATTGAAACCAGAGCCTTCACAATGAGCTATATTCCTAGCCCTTTTATGATTTTATCTTATTTATTTTGAAATAGGGTTTTACTAAGGCACTAAATTGCCTGAGATGGACTGGAACTTGAGATCCTCTTGCCTCAGACTCTGAGAGGGCTGGGATGACAGCCACAAGGCCCAGCTCATAATCTTTCTTATACATTTCACCTAGATTTGTTTATTTACCTTTAACATTTTGCCGCATTTGCTTTAATAATCTCTGTATAATTACCTATAGCATAAGGAGGTCCACATTATTTCTTGTTTTAATTTTTTTCCTGAATCATTTCAGAGTACATATCAGAGATTATGACCCAGGAGCCCTAAATATTTCACCATATATCTCCTGACAGCAAGGACAGACTTTCACATAACCACAGTAACAATGATCAATTCAGGAAACCAAATGATACAATATAATTTGATTTTTATTCAAATTTTATGAATTTGAATTCATAAGACTAATCTATAATCAAACGTTGATACAATTTATAATCCTGTGTTCAAATTTTATCAGTAGTTCTTGTATTGTTTTTTCTAGAAACTTTTTTCCCAGCCCAGGATCAACATTGCATTTAGATGGAACAGTTACTTGGTGGTTATGACTTATTTTTTAGTACTGAGGATTGAACCCAGAGCCTTATCCACACTAAGCAATTGCTTTACCACTAAACTATACCCCAGCCCTTTTTATTTTGAAATAGAGTCTTGCTAAATTGTCTAGGCTGGCCTCAAACTTATGATCCTCCTGCCTCAGCCTTCCAAGTAGCCAGGATTACAGGCATACATCATACTCAGCTGGCACTGATAATTTTGAAGCATATTGGCCATTTTTTTGTGCATCGTGTCCTTTAATTTGGGCTTACATGATTGATTCTTCATGATTAAATTTAGATTATGCATTTT